GCGGCGGCGGCGGCGGCGGAGGCTCTAGCCTGAGGCCTCGACGGCGCTCTCGCGCCGCGCCGCAGCCATGGCCCTGGTGACCCTGCAGCGCTCGCCCACGCCCAGCGCCGCCTCCTCCTCGGCCAGCAACAGCGAGGTGAGCCCCGGGCCCGCGGCCCCGGCCCGGCCGAGCAGCCGCCGCTCCAGGCCTGGGCCGCGAGTGCGGGGCGGAGGGCGCCGGGCCTGCAGGGGAGGGGCCCCGCCGTGCCACCCTGCCTGGGGTTACCGTGCGGGAGACCGCGAGTGTCACCCCGCAGCTGTGACCTCTGTGTGGGAGTGACTTTCAGCGAGACTGTATTGCGGCTGTGACCCCTGGCCGGGGGTGGCTGTGCGTGAACCGTGTGTGTGACTGATCCCCGTCCGGGGGTGACAGTGTGGGAGACTGGATGTGCCGCGGGGACTCCTAATTGGTGACTGTGGGAGATGCTGGTTCTGGGATCTCTGGCCCTGGGGCTGGTCCAGGCCCCTTCCGCGTGTGCCTGGCTGTGTATGTGAGTCCGTGCGTGACTGTGGGGCCTGTCTCCTGGGAATTGTGCCCGCCTGATGCTGTGACAGAGACCACCCCCCCCCGGGGTGCCCTTGTGAATGTTTGAGATTGTTTCCCGGACTGCATGCCCCTGGGGGTCTGCCCCTTGGTGTGAGTGGCTGTCCTCTGGGGTGCCCGTTTCACTGTGTGACAGTGACTGAGTGAGCTCAGGGCGCTCCGTAACAGGGTGTCTTGTCTTTGTGTGAGTCTGGATGTTTCCTTTTTGTAATATCCTTTGGGACTGCATGTTTGTGTTTATCTGGCTGTGTGGCCGCGGCCGATTCTGGGGTTTCTGTGGCTGCACCGGTACATGCTGGGGGTTAAAGCACATGGCTGCACCCTGCGGGTTTCTGTGTGTCTGCGTGCCATCAGGCCTGTTGGCCGGCTCCTTCTTGCTCTGGGGTAGACTGGGAATGGGTCCTCTGAGTCTGCAGTTGGCCTGGGCTGCACTGGGCTGGGGCCTCAGGCAGCTGCAGGGCTGACCCTCTCATCCCCCCACTCTCCCACCTTCTCTTGGAGAACCGTTTATGTCCTCTGGTCTCCACTGCTATCCATGGCCAGGCTGAGAGTTGGCCTGAAGACAGAGCGGATGGAGGAGGAGATTGGGAACTGTTTAGAGAAGAGAGAGAAGGCTGGAGGAGGGGCCCTGCAGGCCCAGGAAGTGGCCTCCGCAGCATCTAAGCGGTTCTAGCCCCTTCTCTGTGGGGGAAGTCGACTGAAAGCGCTGAAAGGTTTGTGTGAGAGAAGAGGAACTGGTTTTGGTGTAGCAGCCCTGTTCGTCCTGGGGGCCTCTGGCCTGTTTACAAGGAGCAGCTGAAACATTTTCAGAGTGGCTGTCAGGGTGAACCCCCCCCAGCCCCTTCCTCTCCTGGAGAGGCCATTAATGAGTTACCTTGTCTGAGGACAGGATTCTCCTCGTCCTTCCTCTGCAAGTCGAGTGCAGGGAAAAGAACCCTGGTGTCCAGTTGCCTGCAGCTGAGACTTGAGGCTGCAGTAGCTTCTTTCCTCCCCACCCAGACATCTGTTCTCCTCCATCATTGTGATTACCACCGTCTTGCAGTCTACAGAGTGCTTCCTTGCACTGCATCTCATACTCCCTTCTCAGAAACTGTGAAGTGGGGGCGCCTGGGTGGTTCAGTCGTTGAGCGTCTGCCTTCGGCTCTGGTCATGATCCCAGGGTCCTGGGATCAAGCCCCGCATCCAGCTCCCTGCTCCGCGGGAAGCCTGCTTCTCCCTCTCCCACTCCCCCTGCTTGTGTTCCCTCTCTCACTATCAAATAAATAAAAATCTTAAAAAAAAAAAACAAAAAAACTGTGAAGTGAGGGAAGGGTTCGACTTCGGTAAGGGCTTATACAGAGGGGCCCTCAGCCTCGGTGTCGGATTCTAAACCCCGCGTTCCCTGCGTAGCTTACATCTGATCAGTTCCTTCTGAAACACATTTTTAAAATTTCATGTTATCTTTTAGCTGAGATATAATCCACATATCATCCGCTCACCATTTCATAGTGTATGATTCAGCGGCCTTTGGTATAGTCACACGGTTGCGCAACCATCCCCACGATCTGGTGCCAGAAATCTTCATCACTCCAAAAAAGAAACTGCATGCCTCTTAGCCACCACCTGCCCCCCCCCTCCGCACCCCCACCCTGCTCTCACCAAACTCTAGGTTCCCACTGATCTACTTGCTGTCCTCATGGATTTACCCGTACTGGACATTTCATATGACCAGAATCCTACAATATGTGACCTTTTGTGTCTGGTTTCTGCCACTTAGCATGATGTCTACAGAGTTCATGTCATAGCACAGATCAGTACTTCATTCCTTTTTTTTTTTTTAAAGATTTTATTTATTTATTTGACAGAGAGAGACAGCGAGAGAGGGAACACAAGCAGGGGGAGTGGGAGAGGGAGAAGCAGGCTTCCCGCTGAGCAGGGAGCCTGATGCGGGGCTCGATCCCAGGACCCTGGGGTCATGACCTGAGCCGAAGGCAGACGCTTAACGACTGAGCCACCCAGGCACCCCATTACTTCATTCTTTTTTATTGCCAAATAATATTCCATTGTATGGATGTATCACATGTTGGACATTTGGGTTGTCTCTATGAGACCCATTTCAAATTATTATATAGAGCATTACTTTTACCAAGTGCCAGTGACCGAGTAAACATGAGAATAAAACTCAAGCCACCTTTTTTTCCCCAAAGATTTTATTTATTTATTTATTTGAAAGAGAGCACAAGCAGGGGGAGCAGGAGAAGCAGACTCTCCACTGAGCAGAGACCGACATGGGGCTCGAGCCCAGGATCCTGGGATCATGACCCCAGCCGAAGGGAAACGCTTCACCGAGCCACCCAGGCGCCCCTAAGCCCCCCCTTTTTTTTTTGGCCGTTAGTCGATCAGCAGCATTAATTTCTCAGCAAACTAGCCGAGGTTGGGATGTTCCCTGGAAGGCGGGGCTTCCTTCCAGGTGGGGTGAGGCAGGAAGAAGCAAGACAGTGTGGAGAGAGCAGGCAGGTGCATGTGAACTCAGGAGACGTGGGTCCAGGCCGGCTGTGCCTCTGGTCTGACCTTCCTCGGGCCTCAGCTCGTGCGAAAGGGCTGGCTTCCCTCCTACGTGTGTTCTTGGGCATGTATAGCTCTCTTCCCCGGAATAACTGACGTTGCCTCCATTTCATTCCTGGGAATCCCGGACAGTGACCAGGAATTAAATGTCTTTGAAGTCTGTACCCCTAAATCACTTCCTCATGCCTCGAAATGTACCTCCTCTGAGTCAGAGACTCAGCAGAGCTGTTTCCTGACTCAGCCTGTTCAGCGTGGGAACAGAGGGAGATGAGCCTGACCAGCAAAGCAGCTCTCCTCTCTTAATTTTTTTCCCTTGCCCTCACCCCCATCTTTAATTATCTCATTTATGTCACTTCGCTGTTAATCTTATCTCATTCCTTTGTGAGAACAAGCAGAAGGCCCCGCAGCAGATAAATCAATAACTTTCAGGAATGGATTGGAACATTGTTATTTTTGACAAACGTTCAAGGTGACTCATTTTTATGGGCAGATCTCCAGTCTCTTTGTTGGGGTGGGGGGGGCGCGGTGGGTTGGGGTTGGATCAGGGTTTCTCAGCCTTGGCACTACCAGTATTGGGGCCAGAAAATTTGCTGTCGTGCGGGGTTGTCTTATGCATTGTGGCGTATTTAGAGTCACCCGGTGGTCCTCCACCCACTAGATGCCAGTAGCATCCTCTCAAAAAAGGCTCCCCCTATTGAGAAAAATCATCCCCAGTTGAGGACCACTGTGTTAGACCCAGCATTCTCCCCGAAGTGTGTGTGGTTGTGTGAGTTGTTTATGCTTCGCTCTGGGACTGAAGCTCATGGCCCTGTGGTCAGCGCAGCCTCGCCTGATGTGTTCCGTGCCTCCTTTGCCTGTGGGGTAGAGAGCGTGAGAAAACTAAGTGACCGGCCACCAGTGTCCGGCTCTGCACGATACTGTACGGAGAGTATCTTCATACTGTGAAGGGGCCCCGGGGCTCTCCGGCGTACCCCTCCTTCTTAGTTGAAACTGCTCCCTTTTCCCATCACTGCTGGATCCTGCCTGGTCTCTGTCCTGGTTCAGCCTTGCATCTCTCCCAGGGATCACTGCTTTCCAGGTTTCCCTTTCCTCTTCAATGGGCGCCTCTGTGGAACATAAAAAACATGCCAGGTCCCAGTGGTGCAGAGTTGTTTGGGCCCGGGGGAGGGGGTGTTTTCTTATTTCAGGTTCCTCATTGAAAGCAAAAGAAAAATTGCAATCGGCATTTAAGTCCCAGTTACTTTTAGATTCTAACCCTCTTGGCCTTTAAACTTTTAGAAAATATTAAATGTCCGTTTCTTTCGCTTATATAAATAAACCAATAGCCTAGAAAGTTTAATATAAAACATTTAAGCCTTTTTGAGAACCACCAAGAGCTTTTGAGACCCACAGACAGACTGGCTGCTCCTGGCCCCCTTCCATTGTGAAAGATTTGCCTGGAATGGTTTTTCTTTTTTCTTTTCTTTTCTTTCTTTCTTTCTTTCTCTCTCTCTCTTTTTTTTTTTTTTTGTTAAACCCATGTGCTGGGTCTGAAAATGGTGTTGATCACTCAGCTATTGCCTGGCTTGAAGGAGGAAATCGATTACTCTTAAAACGTTGCGCCCCCCCCACCACTCCCCTTAAAAAACAGGGTGAGATCCAAAACAACCCTGGAAAGTCGAGAAGAGCATGTTGAGGAGCAGTGCCAGGTAGGAGTGTCCAGTCAACAGGAATCAACCCATGACACTGTGGAAGGAATGTGAATAAATGCTGGGAAATCTGAAAAGTCCCTCCGTGGAAATTTCTCGGAGGGACAGCGGAGCGGGGTTGCCGAGGAAAGGGTGCGACCATGTGGACGCAGCCAGGTTTCCTGGACATCTGTATCTTTTTCAGACATCAGAGCAGAAAACGTGAGACGTGTCTGAGGCTCGTTGCTGGTGGCGTCTGGTGTGACATTCTCTTTCTTTCTCTGTAGTTGGAGGCTGGCAGCGATGAAGAGCGGAAGGTAAACCTCAGGTAAGCAGACTCCGTTTTCGTTCCTAAGTCTTTCTTCCAAGTGGGTTGCCATACTCTTGTTGCTTTCCAGAAGGGAGAACCCATGGAAGAGAATACACCCGTGTGTTCAGTTAGAGCTGTAAAAATTATGTCGCAAGCACGTACAGAGGTGGGGCTTTCACATTTGTGAATGTGTTTAACCACAAAGAGCTTTCATAACGTTGTATAACATTTCGAAAAGGAGGAAGATCGTTGCCAGAAGTCCACCACCCTCCTTGCTTTGCCACTTTGAAGATCGTTAGGTACTTCCTTCCAGATTTTACCTTTTTAAAAAAAATACTCTTTGTTTTATGCTCTCGCTTTTCCATCCTGCTTTTGGTAAGGTGTTCCTTCTGAGGTGAGCACGCTGCTGACTTGAAACAGACATCCCACCCCCTGAGTTTAATTCAAGGTGGTTTTTTTTGTGCTTGTGAGAAATCTTTTGGGACTCTCTGTTAAAAAAAAATTCCTCAGGCTGTAATCCTCAGCTGTTGTATTCACTAGTAGACCCCAAAGGCATTTTTATTTTTCTTTGCCAAAAATACAGGCCTTCTTTTGGGTATTTTGTTTGCAGAAGATTTAGCACCCCCTTATATAATGTGTTCTTATTACATAACTTACTGTACCCTAAGGCGCCAGTCTTAAACTCAGACTCTTAGAATCTAAAAAAGTAAATAGAGTTTCAAGGATATTGTTCTTTGGGGGGAAAGAATCTGTTTCATCTTGTGAGGAAGAGGAACACCAATGGGGAAAGGGAATGTGTGTTCAGAAACTGGGGCCCACCATTCATTTACCGAGAGCAGGATGTTCTCTGGTTAAACTCACGTGTCTTTGAAGGTTCTGTGTCTTTGAGTGAAAGGAGGGAAGATACTCCCTTTTATTGTGGCATACATTATTTCTAAAGATTATACGTGTAGGGAAATAATAGCCTGCGGAAATCAGAGAGGTCTTATTTCAGTGGCCGGGTCCTCATTTTAACGTTACCTTTGGGGACGATGATGGATTTACCCTGTCACGTGGGGTGTTGTGTTGCTCGGGGTCTGGGTCAGGACTGAAAGGCTGGTATCAGCCCGACTCCCAAGTGGGGGCAGTCATGGGCCGTGTTGTAGAGCAGACTCTTCCGTGCTTGGTTCTCTGGGTGGAGGCAAGAAGGGACGAAGTGGAAGTCTGCTCTTTGGAGGAAGTGCTGACAGAAGGGTTTGCTGACCACAGTAGAGGCCCCGAGAGGGGCTGTGTCTGCAGGTGCATCTCCTGCCCCAAGCTTCCCTCCAGCACTCCCCTGGAGTGGGAGTTTCTTCCATCCCTGAGCTCTCCCTCCGCAGGGCTCGTGCCCAGGAGATAGTATTTAGCTCTCTCACTTAGATTGTCTTTGGGGTAAAGAACTATTTTTTTTTTTTTTCAAATTCCCCTTAATTAACTGACAGCATAGTGTTTGGAATTATTTCAATTAATAACTCACAAATAGCAGTGATGTGAAAATGTGAGTGCCCTGGCGGCCAATAAAAGGCCCCTTTCTCTGCACAATTGGGAGCTGGAGAGGACCTCACAAAGGGAAGGGAAGTCAGCTCTGTGTATTGCCAGATTTACTCCTCTCAACCGTGCTAGGAGGGGGTCTCTCCCAGTTTACAGGGGAGGAACCTGAGGCCCAAGGTTGCACGTGGCAGGTACTAAATTTGAAGCGAGGCCTCTGTTGCCTCCAGCACCTGAGTTTGTCATGGGACCCCCGCCATTCTGGAGACCGGTGCCAGGAGCAGGACCGAGGAGCCCTGCTGACTTGGGGTGGTGCCCCCTGGATGTGTGCCAACCACAGGAATCCCTCGTCACTGCGCCCAGCCGCCCCCCCCCCCATGCCCTTGTGAGCACTGGAGGACTCTGGCCTGGAGCCAAGGACCTGGGCTCTGAGCTTATCCTCTTGGGTTCCCTTCTCGGTCCCTCTTCCCCCCACCTTGACATTGACCCCCCCATTTTTAGGCAGAGGACACCATCTGCTTTCCAACCCTTGTAGCCACTTGGGAGAGATTCTGGTGTTCTGGTTTAAGCTTTGACTGCAGCTCATTCACGTCCATGTGTTGATTTGCATTTTCAAGCCTCTGCTGTCCCGGCTTCTAGAAGTAGTAATGGAATAGCCTGTTTGCTTGCCTGGGGGAGAGGGGATTTCTCTGGGCTAGCAGGATGTTGCTCTCTCGCCTCCTCTCTGTCTTCCCCTTCATTGAAAGCTTTCATCTTGGGCGCCTGGGTGGCTCAGTTGGTTAAGCGACTGCCTTCGGCTCAGGTCACGATCCTGGAGTCCTGGGATCGAGTCCTCCATCGGGCTCCCTGCTCAGCAGGGAGTCTGCTTCTCCCTCTGACCATCCCCGCCTTGTGCTCTCTCTCTCATTCTCTGTCTCTCTCAAATAAATAAATAAAATCTTTAAAAAAAAAAAAAAAAGAAAGAAAGCTTTCATCTTTCGGGAGTTCTCTTTGACTCAGCCGTGGCCAGGAAATGGCTGAATCACATGGGCGGGTCTTCTGGGTCCCCACTGCTCCTCTTCCCTGCTTTCCCCTGGTGGCACCATCATTCATGTCCTTATCCCTCCCCTGTCCTGTGTCAGGCGGTCGTCATCCCATCCGTCCCTCCCTCCCACTCAAGGTTTTCGTCCCCACCCTGAGATGGACAGGGTCTTGTCTGCTCTCCACCTCCCCCCCCACACACACTCTTGCGCGTGTCCCACTCCCTGGCCGGGCTCTTTCTTGAAGCCAGTTCCATTTCCTGCTGGGCCAGCTCAGTGGTCCCCCACAGACATCTGTGACTTCCCTCTCTTCGGCAGGTAGCTCTTAGCTCCTCTCTGTGGGCCAGGTACCACACCTGCCCTACATGGCAGGTGCAGGTGCTTTTGTCTCATCCCTCACCGTTGGGGGTGCTTCCCTTAGGGACGGGGACCTTAGTTCTCTGCCTGTGCATGACATTTCAGCGGTTGAAATATGTTAACTTCGTTCTGGTCCTGCAGTATATTGGATACCCGTATGAGAAAGAGCAAGGTGCAGCGGAGACTGTGGGGTTTGGAGCCAGGCAGACCTAGATTCAGAATCTGGCTCCTACCCTATAGTGGCTGAGCTTTGCCTCTGTGCCTTACTGCACTTCTGTGGGATTCTGTCATTCCATCTGTAAAACAGAAACAACTAGGACCTTTCAGGGTCGTGGAGTAGCTGGGGTGGGGCTCCTCACACGGAGCCAGGCTCATGACAGGCTGGAAGAACCATTGCAACGTTTGGTCCTGATAAGATGTTCGTATTAGTGTCAGTTCACAGCCCAGACTTAAGAGAGTTGGACTTCCTGTGGGTGCGGTGTCCACTCTGTCATGCTGGGCCCCTGGGAGGGCCACCACCATGGATGCTCTGTGACCTGGAGCAGCCCCGTCCTTTTCCCAGCTGCATCCCTGTGAGATGCAAATAGGAAGGCACACACTGCAGAGTCAGTATTGTGATTCAGACAGTTTCTCAGAAGCCCTTAGCGTGATCACCTCATGCCCAGAACGAAGCTGACTGATGCAGAGCCATGGAGATCTCATTCTCTGTGTCCTGTCCCCTGCCCTCCGCGTGTACAGACTGCCGCCAGCCTCCAGCAATCCCCTTCTGGAAGCTGTGCTGCTCAGACTGTGGGAATTGGTGAGCAGATGGCTTTGCTGGCAGCGGCTTCTGGCTCCCTCACCATCCTGGGAGCTGCCCCAGTCTGGCATGAGACATAAGTGCTTGTGTGCCAGGCAGGGCCCCGGGGAGAGAATCTGGTTGTGTTGTTTCCAGAGGGTGGATCGGGAGTGAATGTTTTTTGTTGTTGTTGTTTCCATCCAGAGTTTCCAAGTCAAGCGTATGAAAATGTTCATTAGAGTTCTTTTAATTTTTTTTCGTGCCTACCCAAGCAAACATTGGGGCCAAGGCAGCAGGACTTTGTCTTCTGTTTTATTTGGTGTCCGTGGTAAACGATGACCTCCCTTGCACCTCTGCCTTTCCCTCCATGCTCCCTACCCCTTTGGATCTTGACCTAGAATTCTCCAGAGGCCCCCACTCTCCTGATAACCATCTGGAGTGCGGTTGTGCCTTCCCTCCCTCCCCCACAGCAGCAAGTTGGACTGGGGGGCAGGCATGTCCTTGCTCCCCGTGTCCTCGCTTCCCTGTCTCCAGCACCCTTTTATGCCTGTCCACCCTTGGGGTTCCTCTCTGCCTTTCTCAACGGTTTCTTAGCCTGGACTTTCTTGTCCTTGTGGATACTCCGTCCCTGTCTCCAGCACCCTGTCTTTTATGCCTGTCCACCCTTGGGGTTCCTCTCTGCCTTTCTCAACAGTTTCTTAGCCTGGACTTTCTTGTCCTTGTGGATACTCCGTCCGGTGAAGTCCTGCCAAGGGGCGTCAAACATCCTGTGCATCCCAGTTCTGCAGCAGGTCACTGTATCTGTTAGCAGTCGCTGTGTAACAAGTTAGTCCAGACCTGGCAGTCCAAAACAGTTCCTGGTCATTGCCTCGCAGTTGGGAATCTGGACATGGTCTAGCTGGGTCCTCTGCTTGGGTTCTCACGTGGGTGTAGTCAAGGTGTCAGCCAGGGCTGGTGTCGCATCTGAGCTTCAGGTTCTCGTCCAAGCTTACGTGGTTCTTGGCGGAATTCCTTTTCTTGCAGCTGTAGAGGTCATGGTGGCTTGCTTCTTCACGGCCAACAGGAGGATCTGCTGCTGTGGAATCTTGTAAGGGAATGCCATCACAGGAGTGACCATCCCATCACCTTTACCATACAGTGTCACCTGAAGGGGGCAACTGTCCCATCCCATTACCTGGTCCCATCACATTCAGGATAGAGGATCACCCAGGGCACCTGTAACAGGGGCTGGGATCTTGGGCCTTCTCCGAATTCTGCCCACTGGTCTCAGCCTGTGGGTACATTATGTAAAGGTGATGACGACTGAGAGATGTTCTCAGGGTCCTCAAGGGAAGAGGTCAGGAGCACCACTGAGCCCA